GTTTTCTAATCCATTCATCTGCGAGATGAGCAATTTAGCCCTGTTTCCAAATCTTAGCTTATGCTGATTGTGCTGCTCATGAAACATAGTGTGCATACTAGTATATCCTTCTGATTGAGTGTTTTGCTTTCCTGGATCTGCACGACGAAGCCACCTCACAGGGTCAAATGAGAGTTCCATTTTTTATTTTTTAAGGAAAATCACATACTGTTTTACACTGGGTGCACCAGTCTGCATTCCCCACCCAGCAGTGCACGAAGGTTCCTTTTTCTCCACATCCCTCGCCCAGCACTTGTCGTTTGTTGAGTTGTTGTTGATAGCCATTCTGACAAGTGTGAGATGATACCTCATTGTTGTTTTTGATTTGCATCTCTCAGATGACTAGTGACTTTGAGCATATTTTCATATGTCTCTTGGCCTTCCGTATGTCCACTTTCGAAAAGTGTCTATTGAGGTCCTTTGCCCATTTGTTATTGGATTGTCTATCTTCCTTTTATTAAGTTGTATGAGTTCTTTATATATTTTGGATATTAACCCTTTATTAGATGTATCAATGCCAAATATGTTCTCCCATGCAGTGGGCTTTTTTGTTGTTTTGTTGATGGTTTCTTTAGCTGTGTAGAAGCTTTTTATTTTAATGTAGTCCCATTTGTTTATTTTATCCTTAGTTTTCTTTGCCCTAGGAGATGTATTGGTAAACATATTGCTATGAGAGATGTCTGAGATTTTGCTGCCTATGGTTTCTTCTAGAATTTTTATGGATTCATGACTTACGTTTAAGTCCTTTATCTATTTTTAGATTAGTCTTGTGTATGGTGTAAGTTGGTGGTCCAAGTTTCATTTTTTTGCATGTATCTGTCCAATTTTCCCAACATCATTTATTGAAGAGACTAGAGGCCTGGTGCACAAATTCGTGCATGGGTGGGGTCCAGCCAGTCAGCCTTGATTGGGGCCGATCAGGTCAGGCCGGCCAGGGGGAGGGGATGCAGGAGGTTGGCCTGCTGGCCCTACCCCTGATCGGAGTAGTGGGGCCGATCAGGGGTGGGACCAGCTGGGGGATAGGCCACAGGTGGTTGGCTGGTTGACCCCGCCCCCTGGTTGAACTCCCGGTTGAACTCCTGGTCGAGGGGAAAATTTGCATATTAGCCTTTTATTGTATAGGATTGTCTTAATTCCATTGTATATTCTTGCCTCGTTTGTCAAATATTAATTGAGCATAATGGCGTGGGTCAATTTCTGGGGTCTCTGTTGTGTTCCATTGACCTTCATGCCTGTTCTTGTGCCAGTACCAGGCTGTTTTGAGTATAGTGGCTTTGTAGTATAACTTGATATCTGGTATTGTAATCCCTCCAACATCTACTGGAGAAAGATGTCCTCTGCAGTGTGAGGAAATGACTCAGCACAGGAAACCGAGGTGGCTGCCCTCCAAACTCAACCTCAGAGCCCCCAATCCTGGCTTCTGCTCACACAGCTCTAGTCCACTCTGCCCTCCTTCTCCTGGAGCCCAAGGTGAGTGGCTGCACATGAAATTTTGTGCATTAGCCCTTTAAGAGCTTGCCTGCATTTCCAGCCATCTCTGTCTGGCAAACAGCAACCCTGCTGCTTTTCACGGCAGATGTTATGTGGGCACCTTTCTCAGTTTTGGTGCTCTCTGCTGGGGAGAATATGATGCTATCACAGAATACTCCCAGAGTTCTCAGTGGGATCTCCCCACAGCTGAGAAATCCCTCCAGAATTTCAGCTGCTGTCTGTGGGACTCCAGCCAGCCCTTTCACACCTCAGCCCTTCCCACCAGTCTCTATGTGGTCTCCACTTTCTGTCCTTGGTTATCAGAGTTCTATCCAGCTAATCTTCAGTTGATTTTTCAGGGTAGTGGTTCTGTATTTTAGTTGTATTTCCAGTTTGGTCCTGGGAGAGTGTCAGTGTAGCTTCCACTTATTCCACTGCCATATTAGAAATCCCACACGTATTCTTTCAAATTAGTGTTTCAGGTTCTTTGGATATATTTTCAAAAGTGGGATCACTGGGTCAAAAGGTAGTTCCATTTTTAATTTTTTGAGAAAACTTCATACTGTTTTCCACAGTGGCTACAAAAATGTGCATTCCTACCAACAGTGCATGAAGGTTCCCTTTTCTCCACATTCTTGCCAACAATTGTTTTTTATTTGGTAGCCATTCTGATAGGGTGAGATAATATTTCATAGTGGTTTTCATTTGCATCTCTCTGATGATTAATGATGTTGAGCATTTTTCATATGTCTATAGGCCATCTAAATGTCTTTTTTGGAGAAGTGTCTCTTTAAGTCCTTTGATTGAGATGTTTGTCTTCTTGATGTTGAGTTGTATGTGTTCTTTATATATTTTGGAAATTAACCCCTTGTCATATGTAGCATTGGCAAATATGTTCTCCCATTTAGTGGGTTGCCTTTCATTTTGTTGATGGTTTCTTTGCTTACAGAAGTTGATAATAAAAACTGTATTGCCTGGTTGATGTGGCTCAGTGTTTGGGCATTGACCCATGAACCAGGAGGCCATGGTTTAATTACCGGTCAGGGCACATGCCTGGATTGTGGGCTCAACACCTACTATGTGCCAGGCACTGGACTGTGAAAAGAAGATGAGAAAGACACTGTACACAAGATTCTGCTGTGGAGTAAGAATGGCAGACATCCCACAGTAAAGTAAGCAGTGTGAGGATGACAATAAACACAACAGGCTCACGCCCTGGCGCTGGCCCCCACCCTATGCTTTCAGCATTGCTACGGCACTGAAACCTGCCAGGCCTCCTGGTTTTAGAACAGACTTGCAACACCTGTGCTCTCTACCTCCCTCCATTTACCAATTCCTCCTCCTTTTTGAGCTCTTAGGCACAGTGCTGCAGAGAATATCTATGCAGCCCAATCTCCATGCACTTCCACGATTATTTCCTTACAGTGCATTCCTAGAAGAATTTCTGGGCTGAAATGTATGCAACATATATTAAAGCTTTTGATGCATGTTCCTAAATTGTCAGAAATAATGTTTTGTGTGTGTGTGTGTTTTATTTCTTTTGCCAGAGATCATGTTCGTCCACACACTTATATGTTCCACACAAGAGTTCCCATTTCCGCTGCCTCATCAATGGTTGTCATTCTTTTTTCTTTAAATATTAACCAAGCATTTTCATTTACTCTCTTTAGATCACTAGTGAAGTTATGATACTATCAGAGCATATAATGCTATCACAGAATATGACCAATATTATTGTGCTCTACCTACTTTTTCAGTGCTTCATTTAGGACACATAAGATACATATAATTTTATATTCCACTGTTTCTTTACCTTATAAAAATATAATCAGCATGCCCCCCACCCTGTGTCCTTAAGTCTTTATAACCATTATTTTTAATGGTTACATACTCAGGTAGTTACATACACACACACACACACACACACACACACACACACACACACTTTTTTTAATTCTAATATCTATTTCTCTTTCCTCAAAAAATCGAATGTTATTTCATTCTCTAAGGAAAACTGAAGGTGGGTAGGTGATTTTTCCCAACCACGCCCATTATTTTGTTCCCACAGGAACTGCAAAGCCCCCAAACTGGCCTAAGCCTATCTATGAACTGGACGAAGTGGACTCAGGGAACAATGGCTTCATCAATGAGGACTTCATTGTGTGGATGCGGACAGCTGCCTTTCCCACTTTCAAGAAACTACACCGTCAACTCCATCGAGTACAGCATTTTACTGAAGGTTTGCCTGCTGGTAACTATAGTTTCGACATAACCTACAGTATCCTTTTATACTACTACTCTTTGTAATGAAGGAAAATCAGTGTCCATCTGGGTGCTAGTTGTCAAACTATTTCATTCTGTACTTTTCTATTCTTCAAACTAATCTCTGGGAGGCAGGATCTTTCCAGGGCTTGTACACAGCTTTGAGGTCAGCCATGTGGCATCTCAGGGTTGCTGGCTAGGAGTGGTTCATGGGACCCCCAGTGGGCCAGAGGATCTTAGCACAAAATACCTCCTCAGTTTCTTTATCTGCCGGGGAGCTTGAATGAGAAATCTTGGGGATAAGTGAATGACTGCTCCATCATTTCAATCCAGAATAGAGTGAGGACATTTCCTTCCTGACAGGGGGTAGGGATGTTCCTCAGTCAGAGGTTCCTCATTGATGTGACACCACCTCTACCTGTCAGTTTGTTGCCTCTTTCTGTTTGCCTGCAGCGCCTTCCTTTTAGCAGGGCCTCTAATTCTATTCTGTGAAAATGAAAGCTATAAAGAGTAACATTTCAGCAACCCTGCCTTCTCCCCTCCCCCACCAAAAAAAATTTGAGATTGAAAGTTGCTTGCACTGCTGGTGGGAATGCAGACTGGTGCAGCCACTGTGGAAGACAGTATGGAATTTCCTCAAAAAAGTTAAAAATGGAACTCCCATTTGACCCAGTATTCCCACTTCTAGGAATATATCCCAAGAAACACCAATCAGAAAGGATATATGCACCCCTATGTTCATAGCAGCTCAATTTATAATAGCTAAGATTTGGAAACAGCGTAAGTGCCCATCATCAGATGAGTGGGTTAAAAACCTGTGGCACATCTACACATGGAATACTACTCTGCTATTAAAAAATAAAAAACTGCCGAAACCGGTTTGGCTCAGTGGATAGAGCGTCGGCCTGCGGACTGAAGGGTCCCGGGTTCGATTCCGGTCAAGGGCACGTACGTTGGTTGCGGGCACATCCCCAGTAGGAGATGTGCAGGAGGCAGCTGGTCGATGTTTCTCTCTCATCGATGTTTCTAACTCTCTATCCCTCTCCCTTCCGCTCTGTAAAAAATCAATAAAATATATTTAAAAAATAAAAAAAATAAAATAAAAAACTTTTACCATTTGCAACAGCATGGATGGAACTGGAGAGAATTATGCTAAGCTAAATAAGCCAGTCGGAGAAAGATAAATATCACATGATCTCACTCATATGTGGGATATAATGATCAACATAAACTGATGAACTAAAATGGATCCAGAGACAAATGGCAGGGGAGGGGTGGGGGATTAGAGATCAACCAAAGGACTTGTTTGCATGCATATTTGCATAACCAATGGACACAGACACTGGGGCAGTGGGGGCTGCCCTCAGGGTGGGAATGGCAGAGGGAGGGTCAATTGGGGGAAAATGAGACATTTGTAAAACTTTAGACAATAAAAAATTATTTAACAACAACAACAAAAAAGGAGCTTGACAGTGGTCTCCGGACTTGGACCTCCTGATCCCACTGACCTGGTCTGTGATTGCCTTACCAGTAAAGCAGGTGCAGTTGCCATCAAGAAATAGGGAGGAGGGAGGAACAAATGTCATGAACTGCTGTCCTCACAGTGCCTGGTGGTGAGTTTGGGGCAGAGGGGAGCAAGGGGGGAGTCTGTGTTCCCAACAAAGGAGATCCTCTCTTTCTCCTCCGGAGACCAGCTCTCCTTGGGTGACTTCAGCCAGTCACATTTTAATGCTGGTGACGCTCAGGTCTAAATCTTCGAGCTTCAGTCCTAGCCTTGCACTACCCGTGTTAAGCCCTGGGTGCATATTACCCGCCCAGCCTCAAGGCCTGGCCGATGTGCACAGAGAACGGAGCCTGAGCTACAGAAATCACCTTCCTCTTCTAACAGAGAGAGGATGTTCTTGGTGTGAGGAAAGACCCTCTGCTGGAGCTGAGGGAGAGAGGAAACAGGCAGACGAGTTGAGGTGGCGCTCAAGGTCCTGGTGACAATGAGGAATTTTGACGTAAAAGAGAGACTTAGTTTCCTTGTGCCTTTAAATAGCAGGTTGCCAAGTGATCTGAGGCCTTTTGAGAACTTTGCTGGGAAATGCTGCTGTCCTGTGCCGTTGCTATGAGAAGCCTTTGTTTGTTTATTAGTTTGGTTTACAAAAAGGCACCAGATGTTTAAAAACCTCAGACCACATGTATAATCAAAATGACATCATTAAAATGCTAATGATAGCAAACCCACTTCAAGCACTTTCACCCCAGCAGTGAGGGATGCTGGCCTTTCCGAAACCCAAACGAATGCCCCATATTTAGTTTTCCCACCAAAAATATTTCACCATGTAGCTGACTATTTTTTTCATATGTTTTTAGAGGGAGAGGAAGTGAGAGGAAGAGAGAGAGAAACAACAATGTGAGAGAGAAACATTGATAAGTTTCCTCCTGCACCCACCCCGATCCACAACCAGGGTGACGGCGCTCAACCAACTGAGCCACACCAGCCAGGGCGATAGCTCACTGTTATTTTGTTCTTCACTCCACTTGGAGAACTTTCCCTGAGGTAGGAATTCAAACCTTAGCCTAAAATGATTTCACCCTACCCCCGGGTCTCCTGAGTCATAAAACGAAAAGTCAGGTTTGCTGTAAAACCTATCTGTATTCTTTTTATTTTCTTCAGTTTAAATATATTTGTTCAACTTTCAGTTGTCTGTAAGTCACTCCGATCGATCTATGTGTCAGAATCACTTTTGTACATGATAATGATGTAGAGGGAAGCCTTGTTTTTACTTAATTCCATTACAGTAACATACAATGTACTACTTGATAAAGATTAGACCATATGAAATCATTCAACCCTGTTTTGACCTACAAAAACAGCAATGTTATATGGTTCAACCTGCTGTATTTAGGATATAGGGTGGTGGAGCTGAGAAGTGCGAAGACAGATCCTTAACAGGTCGCCTTTCCCTAGACTTTCCAGTCACCAGATTCCGAGGCGAGAAGTCAGTCGTTCTTTCCACCCTGACGTGGAGCGGGGGCAGCAGCCTTTTCCTCGGTCTCGCCTACACAGTGACAGGCGCCGTGACGTGGTTGGCCTCCTTCTCCATGATGGCGATTCACTTGATGCTGGCCAAAAGGAAAATGTTCTTCCCCAACTACAAAGTCAAGCTTTGAAGAGAAGAGCAGAAAGCACGGAAGTGGACGGTGAAGTGACAGAGCCAAAGACCTCTGACGAGGCTGGAAGTGACTGGGATATTTCAAGGGGGACTGCACTGAGGGGCCAGGTTCAATCCCAGGTGGATAAATGAGAGTTTCCGGGGAGGCGGAGAGGAGGAGGGAAAGGCATACTATGTATAGTAAAATGTCCTTGAGGAAGATAAATCATCCTTGAGCTCTGAACCACGTCTCGGATATTTATTTAAAGCCCTCGTGCCTAAGGGCGGGTGAGTGCCTGGGAGAGGACCATCACCAGACAAGAGTAAGCTGGCTGAGTCCCCAAGATCAGGTTAGTCCTTTCAACCATCACCCAGGCTCAGACCCCAGTCTTTACTGAAATTATTATAAACTACCCTACAACAATCACTGAGCATTGAAGTGAGCAATCAGGATGATTTTGAAAACTGATTTAGTTGGTGTTCTCTGCTTTCTATGGAGTCAAAGCTAAGTTTTCTCTGCTAGAAGTAAACCAAGCAAAGGTTATGGCCGTGCCCTGAGCACACACAGTGCAGCCGGGAGGGAAGCACTAAACGTGACTGATACCCTCACACACTGTACTCAGCACAGGACAACTCTAGACCTCACCCGGGGATAATGTTCTAGAAAGTAAACAATGGCGTGGATTTAAGATACTCGAATTGGATGTGTTTAGGAGCTTCTCAAGGTCTATCTTAAAAGGTTTGAATTCCTTCTCAAAGTCACTTACAGGAGACTTAACCAAGTACTTGGTAAAGCTGCCAGGACAAGGGGCCCCATAGATTTGTGTCCCTCAATGACCAGAATATTATACTTTTAAAAACATGTTTATATTATTTTATTTGTTTAGGTGGGGGGAGCTTTACTCTGCAATGACTTTAGGAGCAGAATTTTCATTGTTAAAGAAACATACAGCCCTAACCGGTTTGGCTCAGCGGATAGAGCATCGGCCTGCGGACTGAAAGGTCCCAGATTCGATTCCGGTCAAGGGCATGTACCTTGGTTGCGGGCACATCCCCGGTAGGAGGTGTGCAGGAGGCAGCTGATTGATGTTTCTCTCTCATCAATGTTTCTAACTCTCTATCCCTCTCCCTTCCTCTCTGTGAAAAATCAATAAAATATATTTTTAAAAAAAGAAACATACAGCACCAACACATATGTGTCTCTTTAGCAGCCAAGAAAGCATTTCTTTGTTGCAACTTTCTGCATTTACCAAATAGTTGAATACTTTTCCAAAATAACGCAAAATGGTTTCAAGTGCCAACTCTGAAACCTGGAAACCTCTCCCCTATCTCACCTTCCATGTGTAACCAGTGACCTCGGGTGTGGGAGGCTGAATACTGCCCACCCCCACCCCAAAGATAGCCATGTCCTAATCCCCAAGACGGGTGAATGTTCACTTCTATGTCAAAAGAGACTTTGCAGAAGTGATTAAAGAGATTGCTATGGAGAGATTATCCTGGTTTACCTGAGTGGGCCCAGTGTAATAATTTGGGTACTTATAGGAGAGACAGGAGATCGGAAGCAAGAGGTTGGTGTGCTGGAAGGAAGGGGCCATGATCCAAAGAATGCCGGCAGCCTCTAGAAGCTGAAAAAAGCAAGAAACAGATCCTCCCTAGAAGCCTCCAGAAGCCAAGCTGTCATCTTGATTTGAGACTTCTGACCTCCAGAACAGTAAGAGAATATGTTTATGATGTTTTAAAATCCCAGTGTGTGTGGGGGGAGGGGGGGAGACCTTCCACCTTCCCAACCCCCACCCTTGTACCCCCGACAATGTGTGGTAATTTGTTACAGCAGCAAAAGGAAACTGATATACCAGGAGTTGACAATGCTGTCGTCATCTGAGCAACTATTGCTTCTCTGATTTTAGGTGAGCTATGCAGGGCAGAGAGGCCCATTGACTTCAGACCTGGGCTCTCACCCCTCAGGTCCGCACTCCTCCGGTATGGAGCAACTGGAAAAAGGCTTAAACACATTGTTACACCTCAACCTTGTCCATCAGCTTATTATAGGATGCTGTATCGGTCAGAGTCCTACAAAGAAACAGAACCAATTGTGTGTGTGTGTGTGTGTGTGTGTGTGTGTGTGTGTGTGTGTAAGGAACTGGCTCACATGATTGTGGAGGCTTAGCAAGTGCAACATCTGATGGGGGAGGCTGCAGGCTGGAGGCTCAGGAAAGAGTTGCAGTTCAAACCAAAAGGCAGCTGGTGGAAATCCAGGGAGAGTCGACGTTTCGGATGAAGCCTAGAGTCTGCCTGCTGGGGAATTCCCTCTTGCTCGGGGGAGGTCAGCCTTTTGTTTTATTCGGTCCTTCAATTGATTGGATGAGACCCACCCATATTATGGAGGACAATCTGCTTTACTCTGTCCTACCCATGCAAAGGTAAATCTGGTCCAAAAACACCCTCACAGAAACAGTGAGAATATGACTGACCCAAATGTCGGGGCACCATGGCCCGATCAAGTTGACACACAAAATCAAGAATCACAGAAGGCATCTGCATTCACCAAGACTTTTTAAACAAGTCCTCCTCATGTCACTTTGTACTCCAGTTGAGCCCATGGAAAGGACCTATCTATACTAATAAAAGGGTAATATGCTAATTAGAGCAGGAGACCTTCCGGGAGACCGGCCAGGTAGAGCAGTTGGGGTCATGAGGTCGGCAGGGGAGGGCAGTTGGGGGCTATCAGGCCAGGGGGGGGGCAGTTGGGGGCAAGAAGGCCAGTGGGGGGGGGCAGTTGGGGGCAAGAAGGCCAGCGGGGGTGGGGCAGTTGGGGGTGATCAGGTCAGCAGGCAGAGTGGTTAGGGGCAATCGGGCAGGCAGACAGGTGAGTGGTTAGAAGCCAGCAGTCCCAGACTGCGAGAGGGATGTCCGACTGCCATTTTAGGCCCATCCTAAAGAGATCGGGCTAAACTGGCAGTCGAATATCCCCCAAGGTGTTCCAGATTGGAAAGGGTGCAGGCCCGGGTGAGGGACACCCCCTCATGTGCACGAATTTTGTGCACCAGGCCACTAGTACAAAATATAAGTCTATCCATAAGATAGACATGAACAAAAGTGTAGAGCTGACCTTTATTTGAAATTTACCAATTAAACTCCTACTTTGTGGGACAGATTCACAATGCCCAGGATACCAGAATGAGCCAGCTGGCGCTCCTGCTCTCAAGGGACTCGTGCCAGACAGATCTCTGTGTCCTTCTGGCCCCACTTGCACTTGCCCTGCACAGTTGTGCATGAATTCCACACTCACCCTAGGTTTCTCTCCGTTTCCTGAATGTCACACTGGCCTCCCTGACAAAAGAGAACATGTGCTCCCACGGGCAGCACCAGGCTTCCCACTCCCTCTGTATGATCCCAAAGCACATAAATCCATGCTGGGCACAGAGAGGTGTTCAAGTTGATTAAAAAACAAACAAACAAAAAAACTCCTGACTTGGACACAGCCTAATCTTTCCCAGCTTGCACTCAGGCCTTCCTAATGAAGGCTGGTTTTTTCATCTGGTTTCTTTCATGGTGGAGGCTTTATTAACCAAATGTTAGGAAGAGAAACTTGCTTCAGACAGCTGCTGGTTTTCCTTTGCAATGTGTCCACCAGAATCCCAAGCACCGTGGCCTGCAATTGTCAACATATTTTGTCTCTGGATGTTCATAAGTGAAAGGATTGCAGAGCGCCTTCTCCTGGCTCCTCCACCCTGTGCGACAGGAGGAGCCACTCAGGGGCTCGGCCGGGACACTCTCAGCACTGGGTCAGAGTCCACTGCTCAGTCAGTCTTGGTTCGGCCCCTTGAAGACCTTATCTCTACTAACCAGGCTTCTAAAAGCTTTGTTCTCCTTGTACCTGTTTACAGTGTCAGTACTTCATGGGCACTTCTTAGTGAATTGCATTCTAGGTAAGCCATGGCCCCCTTTTTATCTCTGCCTCCATCTATTCCCCTCACCCTTCAAATAGCTGTCTGGAAAAATGATTAGAAGAGAAGGTGAAATTATGAGATTTGGATTGCAGCGACTCAGAGAGCAGCCAGAGGAGCTCATTTAAGGAAAAACTTCTCTGCAGAGGGTCAGGCTTGTACAGTATCCCCACGCTAATCCCGCGGCAGTCCACGAAATGATTCAGAGCCGCTCTGACAAATCTAGGAACGCTTCGAAGTCTGGAGAGCGAGCTATTGTCTTATAATGAATCTTCCTTTTTTGATTAGTGCAGAGCTGTGTCCTGCTTCCAGAGGCAGGATCCAGTTTTCTTATTCATTTCACCACGGCTGGAATGGAAAAACTGAAGTCATTACTCTGATGGCAAGAAACATCTTGTGGGACTCACACAGCCAGCCGCCGGCACAGACAGGCATGGGGCACCTTTTGCTCCTGGTCTGGATGGAAAGAGCCTCACTCCGCTAAAACAGATGCTTTTTAGGGCAAGTTAACATTGTAAAAATAACCTAGACTCTGTTGATTTTTTTTCTTTTTTGTTTATGAAGATTTCTCAGTTTCTTTTTTATAACCAGCATCCGTGGACTGCCTGGCTATAAAAATGTATTCTTCAGTCTGAGGTCAGGAATTTTGTGGACAGGTTGGGGGAGGTTCCAAATGGTTTGTAGAAACTAGAGCTACAGAACTCCAAAAGGTAAGTTGGGGTGGAAGAGACAAGCAGCGCATTTGTTCAGGGAAAGTGAGGAAATTTTGGATTTCCATTTTTCTTCTAATGCTGAACAATGAGGAAGGAAACCTGAAGGAGAGCATGGGAGAAATGAAGTAAAGCAATGCGGGTGGAGCCGTCTCCATGCCTTATGCACATGGCTGCGTTTAATCCTAACCACAGAGTGAGGCGGATTGTTATCCTCAGGGGTCATTTCTCTTACCTTCTTCCCACTCGGCAAAGCCCACTTCACATCAGTATAAACATGCTAGCTACATGCTTTGCCTTCAGGTAGGAATGGCCAACGGACCCAGTTCTGACTGTGAGACATAAGAGAAAGTCTGTTGGGGCGACTTGGGAAAATATTTTCTTCCAAGACAACACACACACACACACACACACACACACACACACACACACGAAGAGCTTCCTAAATATGCACTGGAAGTTCTAGCCAGAGCAGTAAGGCAAGAAAAAGAGATAAAAGGCATCTAATTTGGAAA